AAGGACTGCTTTTGTGATATTCTAATTAAAATATTTAATGCATTATCCAATTCATCTACCGTTAAAAATTTATCTTTGATAAAATCCTTTTTACAAATTCGAACAAACCGTAAAACATATGCTACTGTGCGTTTAAGCCTAGAAAAATTTGAAAATTTACTAAAATTTATAAAATCATTATCATCATTATTTGTGATTGCAACATTTACTGCTATAACAGAACGCAATTCCGGAAGTGGCCCAACAATTTTGGGATGAGTAGGCCATTGTGACATATCACGTTTTAAAAACGTTGGCCCAGACCACCAAATATCTAGTGACATAATAGTTTTAGCATCAACTCCTCGGGAAATATGATCGGCGGGATTATCATGAGTGGGAACATGCTTCCAAATACAGTTAGGAGACTTTTCCAAAATTTCTCCAACTCTGTTGCGTACAAAGGGTTGTAATTTACTAGGTACCATTTTAAGCCACCCCAATACGATAGAAGAGTCGGTCCAAAAAAACGTACGTCTTACCTTGACTCGAAGTGTGTTAGTCGCCTTTTCATAAAGCCGTAACGCCACAAGTGCTCCGCAAAGCTCCAGTCTCGGTATGGTCGTAGGTTTGATTGGAGCCACTCGACTTTTTGCCATGAGCAATCGAACTAAAGTTTCACCGTTATCATTTCCGCTACAAATATATAAACATGCTCCATAAGCATATTGTGAAGCATCACAGAAAACATGAAGATCTATATATGTATAAGAATCTACTAAAACGTTACGTATAATGCGCAGATCATTAAGTAAGGGCAAATTGATAATAAATTCATTCCAAGATCTTGATATATCTGATGGTAAAGGATCGTCCCATGATAATTTCAGTAGCCATAATTTCTGTAATAAGCATTTCATACTAATAACACAAGGGGCGAGTAGGCCTAATGGATCAAAAATTTGTGAAATTACAGAAAGTATAGTACGTTTAGTCATGACACTGGGGATTTTATTATTTATACTAAAACAAAGTTCATCGGAATCTGATTGCCAACCTAAGCCTAGAACTAACTTTATATTAGAATTATCAGATCCAATATTTAAATTTAAAGAGGTAGTTGTAATTTCATCATTATCAAAATTTAATGCATTTGACTTCCACTTTCTAAGTGGCATTTGAGCTGAATTTAAAGCGTTAGTAATATTTTGTTTAATATATAAAAGTTCATCAATAGTATCAGCTCCAGTGAGTAGGTCATCCATATAAAAGTCGTGTATAATGATTTCACGTATTTTATCATCTGCACAGTCGAGACCAATTTGTTTTAAACAACGTACCGCTAGAAAAGGTGCACTCGCTGTGCCATATGTTACAGTATTTAATTTATATATCTCTAATGGATCAAATTTACTAACGCGCCATATAATTTGTTGAAGACACCTATCATCTGGATGTACAGCAATCTGCCTGTACATTTTTTCTACATCAGCAGATAAAATATATTTATGTTGTCTGAATCTAAGAAGTATGCTTAAAAGGTCGTCCTGTATTGTGGGACCGACCATTTGAATTTGATTAAGTGAAATACCTGTGGTAGTAGGACTGCTAGCATTAAATACAACCCTTAATTTGGTCGTTGAACTACTATCACGCCACACTCCATGATGTGGAAGCAGGTAAGAAAATTCATTAGGCTTTAAATCAGATTTTGACATATGTCCTAGTGCAATATATTCTGACATAAAATCGTGATATTTAATCTTAAGTAAAGGCTGATTATCAAGTCGACGTTCAAGAGATAAAAAACAGTTTTTTGCACGCTTATAAGATTCGCCTAAAAGATCTACTTTCTCCTTTAAGGGAATCCTGACGCAGAAACGGCCATCTGTAAGACGTGACACATTATTAACAAAGTGCTCCTCACACATTTTTTCTTCTTCAGTATAATATGAAGATTTGTCATTAATTTCTTCTAGATGCCAAAACTTTGATAAATTATCTTGAATAACTTCATTAGAATCTACTGAATCTATCGACTCAATTTGTGCCAAATTACATTTAATATGTGACGGTAACAGATTCGATACATGACCGCCTAATACGGGTCCTGAAACTATCCATCCAAGTCTAGTCTCAAAAAGTATCGGTTTGCCGGTACCTAATTTAATAATTTGTGACCCTAACAATTCCCAGAAAAGATCAGCGCCTATAATTAAATCTATATCACCTGGCGTATAAAAGTTAGGATCGGCTAAAACAATATTTGATTTTAAATTTAACATCGAAATATCTACGTGACCGTAAGGCACTTTGCTTATTATCGATGGTAAAACAAAACAGGTAAGATGTGCAGAATAATTGTTATCTAAAGACTTCATTTGCACACGGCACATTTTACCAATAGGTAAAGTACAGTTATTTATTCCTAACACTGACTTTTCGACATTATCAACTGGCAAGCTTAATTTATTACACATATTTTCTGTAATAAGACATGATGTACTTCCGCTATCAAGTAATGCACGGGCGATGTATTCCCGGTTGTGTGAATCGTACAACTTGATAAGGGCAGTCGATAACAGTACATCATGATTGCTTGTCGTTGGATTATTTAAATATGCCGAAAAGGTTACGTTAGAAGTAGGACTTCTGTCAGACACAGCATTATTTTCAATGCATAATGATCCAGCATTAACTGGTGATTGTGATTTTAAATCTGTAACGTGAATAAGTGTATTGTGTTTACGTTTACATATTTTACAACCTGGTTTTTTACATTGATTCGCATAATGTCCTACATGTAAACAATTATAACAAATTTTATAATTAGGTAAAAGTTTTAAACGCTGTTCATTATTAAGACCTAAAAACTGTGAACAATTTTTAAGTTGATGTTCACCTTTACATTTTGGGCAGGGTTTGGGGGTCGAAGAACCTATTGGAGATCTATCATCTCCTACCCGAGGTGAACTTGTGATAGAAACCATACTTTTAAATTTAGTATTAATCTTTCCAGTTTGATTTAAATAATTATTACAGCGTGGTAATTCTAAAGCCTCTAATAGGTCTGCACGGCTACGTAAAAATTTAAAAAACACATCTAAAGTTAAAGGTTCATCCTTATTAAGCTGACCCTTTAATTCCTCCCATTCACGATATGTCTTACAATCTAGTTTTTGAGTAACAATATGTATAAGAAGTGTGTCCCAATGCTTCGTTGGCTCGCCTAAAGAATCTAAAGCTCTTAAATTTTTATTTAATTGATCAATCATACGTTTAATAGACATAGAAGACTCCTTACTGATTGAATCAATGTTGAATAATGCATTTACATGATTCTGAATTAACATACGCTTATTATCAAAACGCTCACAAAGAATCTTCCAAGCAACAGGATAAGTTTTGGCTGAAAATTCAATGGACTGTATAACGACAGCAGCGGTGCCCTCTAATGACGCCCTTAGATAGTGAAACTTATTTATATCATCAATATCTTCATTGCAGTGGATAAGACTAGAAAAAGTGTCATGGAATTCTAACCAATTATCATAGGATCCGCTGAACTTTGGCAATTGTATAGTGGGTAATTTAACGAGATTATTGTTGTTATTAGCTCGCATCGAACTCTTGTCATTCTCAGCATTCGCTTCGTTCGATTTAGAAAAGCGCGTAACTATACCCTGGGCTTGTGCTATTAATTTATAATATTGAGACTCAAAATCATTTCGTACAACTAATTGATTTTCCATGTCCTCTGTTATGCATTCTATTTTAAACTGTATTTCATCATATTGTTCAAAAATATTAATCATTTTATTAATACGTAATTGTAGTTCGTTTACCTGAGACTGGCTTACTGATTCTTCCAAATGACTTAAATAATTACCAAACAACGTAAGACGGCCTTTAAAGCTTGCACGTTTTTTAATTAGTTCTCTTTCCTCTCGGTCAGTCATTGTGGGAAGCAAGTATCAAAGCCTGGAACGTTATACAAATAAAGATTAAACTATAATATATAACTATTATGATTAAGTACTAAACAGTTTTAAAGTATAAAACAATTTTAACTTTGCAATGAATCAAACTGAAATGTATCTAATTTTTAATATACAAAGTCAAATTAACAACTATTATTATTTAAAGTAAAGAAATTTAATCAATCTAACTTTCTTAACTCTGATAAATATGTAAATGTCTTAATTTTACTTTATTTTACTACTTTACAATTTTAAACATTAATTTTTTACAATTATATTAATTTACAATTATTTAGATGTAATTTGTAACTTATTTCAATTAATCAATAATGCATATTAAATCTACATATATCATTTCAATTATAAGTATTATACTTATATCATTAAGACAATGAATATAATATTATGTGATATGGAAGAAATTTAAACAATGGAATGTGAAAATTACAGAATTATTATTAATTTATAATTTTACTAACCTTTATACATTTAAAACACCTTAAATACTACCTGAATTAGAGTACTGGGTGGAAATTAAGTATTGAAATTACTTAAATACTGCATAAATTCCATAAACCACGCCTTGTCGAAGTCTTGATATGATGACCCCGGAACAATTTGTGATTTCACTTATTTTTCCACAGCCAAATCCAGTATTTTTATATACGCCGGTTATTTTTAACTTTAATATCCGTGTCGATGGACCATGTCTTTGAATTAACAGATTTAAGGTGTAAAAAGAAAGGTTTAATTGCAGACACGTAATGATTTAATCGAGATCAATTTACAGAGAGAGAAGGACGGTAGAAGAAAAAATAATTAGCGGTAGAAAGTTAACACAGAATCAACATTGCCTTCAAATATGAAGAGGCGCTAAAAACTATTTGAATAGTAATATTAATATTACATATATTTTCACTAATTATAATATAGATTTATAAACATATCTACCTATACTTAATTGATAATATGAATCTTATTCTAATCTTATAATAATTATTACTTTCTCCTTCTTATATATATTTATATTTGGAATTTTAGGAAGGAACAGGTGAAGCAAGTTTACAAAACGTATACTTTAAGTACCCAACGCGGCCTCTCATACAAGTACTTAAGAACTTAGATCTTGAAATAGAGAATGGAAAGACAATAGCGTTAGTAGGTGCCAGTGGTTGTGGTAAGAGTACGATCATTCAAATGCTTGAAAGATACTACGATCCAGACGAAGGCATTGTGGTAAGACATTCTAGAGTTAAAAAACGACGAAAAACTAAAACTTAGGTACTGTTTGCTATAATAATGATCCAAATGCAATTTGTATGTAGGTTGTGCCAATATACTTAATAGGAACCGTTCATCGAAGTGATGATATAAATTTGATTTTTATTTAATATATATATTTGATATTATACTAATTCAATATTGTACTAATAATTCTCATATTATTTTCATGGCTAGACCCTAAAGGACTTCTTAAAATCTGATGCGTTAAAATTAGTGTATTTTTAACAATAATATATTTTTTTATTTTCAGGCGCAAAATGGTATTCCTCTACCAAAAATACGTCTAGTTGATGTAAGAAAGACAATCGGTTTCGTGCAGCAAGAACCAATCCTGTTCGACCGAACAATAGGCGAGAATATCGCTTACGGAGATAACCTGCAGATACTTAAAATGGAAAATGTTATAGAAGCCGCTAAGCAAGCCAACATACACAACTTCATTATATCTTTGCCTATGGTAAGTATCTTTTTTAATAGTTCTACATATTAGAGTAGGTCACAATATGAAACAGATGTTTGATTATTACATTATTATAAAATTAGTACATATGTAATAAGCAAAAATCAGTTAAGGGCTAAAACTTTCTGTTGTCTTTTATAGGGCTATGACACAAACATTGGTTCTAAGGGCACACAACTCTCAGGAGGACAGAAACAAAGAGTAGCAATAGCAAGAGCTTTAATAAGAAAACCCAAAATGCTGCTACTCGATGAAGCCACTAGCGCCTTGGATACAGAGAGCGAAAAGGTAAATTACTACTGCCTACTAAGTACTATTTTTACTATTTACTAATAGTCTTCTGTCTTTTTATTCAATATTGTATACGCAAATCTAGTCTAAGCACTACGTAGTGAGTACATTTTTACGGTGCTTCTGAATACTGATTTATTCTTTAAAAAGCTTTACACATGATGTGATGATGTTCTCCCGACCGATTCTGGCCACGGCAGCCAATCTCATTGAGACTAGCCAACTGCGCAGGAGGTATTATAGTGCACAAGTGTACGCGCAGACACAAGTGCACTCTATTCCTGTCACTCTCATACTCTGGTGGGACGACCACTCGACACGACCAGTGAGAGTTAAGGCGCAGGACCGACGGCTTTACGTGCTCACCGAGGCACGGGGGTGAAACACAGCCAACTTCCCAACTCCGGGCTGTTACTGAGGCTTACTATACAGAAAGACTCAATAACTAAACTTGGCCCGACCCGGGACTCGAACCCAGGACCTCCGGGTGTGCAGCCGTACTTGCTAGCCACTACACCACCGAGGCAGCTTTACACATATACCTTCCTCATACACATGGACATGTATATTTATTAAATCTAAATAGTCAATATAAACAAATCTACATTAATATTATAAAGAAGTTTATTGCTTATAAAATTTCGTATGTAAAGGATCATCTCTGCTGCTACAGATCCGATGCTAAAATTTCTTTAGCTAAACAGAAGTTACATTGCCACCGAATGCTATAGACTTTTATTCCGATAAAAATGTTTTTACTATCTGAACTCATAATAACTTTGATTGAAGTTTGAAAATAACTAGTCCTTGAGTTACTAATCGACAGGCAGGGACGTGCCCGCGTAAGTCGCTGGTGCTACATAAGAAATCAAAATACTTTTAATGGCATTAAATAAGATATATTTTATTTAATAAGTATATTGATCCAGGTGGTACAAGAGGCGTTGGACGCGGCGAAGGCGGGGCGCACGTGCGTCGTGATCGCGCACCGTCTGAGCACGGTGCGCGACGCCGACGTCATCTGCGTGCTCAGCGACGGCTGCGTCGCCGAGAGCGGCACACACTCACAACTTCTAGATCACAAAGGACTCTACTACAATCTAAACAGACAAGGATACTCTTGATCCCAACCTTTACAATATAAGTAGAACTAAATTATTATTTTAAAACAATGAATTCAGTATTAAAATAAATATAAGTACTCAATTCTTAAAACCAGCAGAAAGACCTTAACTTTCATAAAATTATAGCATCGTCATGATCCTATTATATTAAAATAAATACATGGAAAGCCAGCAAAATATATTAGATTTTAATTTCAGTAGTTGTGATTTGCATATGATAAAAATCCATTATGGTAGACCTGTAAGTTGACTTCGGGCGACCTGCAATAGACACAGGAGGGCCTATGTGAGGTGTCGCAGGAGGAATGGCTTGGCCCCGGACTTGGAGAGCGAGCTGCGGGCGGCCTATCGGTCCGCAAAAAAGGCCCTGCAGCTCGCGATCAGCCAAGCCAAGGCGGCGGCCCGTCAGGAATTGCTGGCGGGCCTGGATCGGGATCCGTGGGGGCGCCCATACATCAGCGCGCGGAACAAGCTCCGCGCGCATGGCGCCCCGGTCACGGAGACCACGCGGCCCGACGTCCTCCTGCGACTGGTGGGAGGCCTGTTCCCGGAGTCCTCCGGGCACGTCCCCCCGGTGATGTGTCCTCCCTCACGCCATGAGGGAGTCGACGAATTCCCCCCTATCACCGAGGGGGAGATGGAACTGGCCCGCGACAAACTGCGGGCCAAAAGGACGGCTCCGGGACCGGATGGTATTCCGGGGCGAGTTCTGTGCATCGCCCTGGAATACCTGGGAGGGGATCTTCGGGACCTCTTCAACGCCTGTCTTCGCGTTGGGCAGTTCCCGAAGATCTGAAAGGAGGGGTTGTTGTGCCTGTTGCCCAAGGAGGGTCGTCCTCTGGACTCCCCTTCGGCATACAGGCCGATCGTGATGCTGAGTGAGATGGGCAAGCTCTTCGAGAGAATTCTCGTTGCCCGTCTTCCTCAGCATCTCGAGGAGGTGGGGCCGGGCCTTTCAGAGGCTCAGTTCGGGTTCAGGGCGGGTCGGTCGACCGTGGACGCCCTGAACGCCCTGAAGGTTCGGTCCTTGGCCGCGGTGGAGGAGGGAGACGTGCTTTTAGCCGTCTCATTGGACGTGGCCAACGCCTTCAACACCCTGCCGTTAGAGACGCTACGAGAGGCACTTCGGTACCATGAGGTGCCTCTCTATCTCCGGCGGGTGTTGGACGCGTACCTCCGCGACAGACAGGTCGTGTGGACGGGGGCAGATGGGGTGGTCGGTCGGCGACGTGTCGGCTGCGGGGTTCCACAAGGGGCCGTTTTGGGCCCGGTACTGTGGAACCTCGGGTATGACTGGCTCCTGCGTTGTCCGCTTCTCCCCGGGCTCGGTGTCATCGCTTATGCCGATGACACCCTCGTCACAGCCCGGGGTCGCTCTTACGAAGAGGCGGCACGCTTGGCCACAGTCGGCACTAACCTAGTCGTCGACCGTATAGGGATGCTGGGCCTGAGGGTCTCCGTCTCCAAAACGGAGGCCCTCCTTTTTCATGGCCCACGCAGGGGTGCCCCCCGCAACGCCTGTCTGCGGGTCCAGGGTAGGATGGTGGAGGTACGGGCCCAGATGAAATATCTGGGCCTGACCCTGGACGGACGCTGGACGTTTCGTGTCCATTTCGCCCAGCTCACCCCGAGACTGATCGGCGCCGCCTCGGCCCTCGGCAGACTTCTGCCCAATGTCGGGGGCCCTGGATCTCACTGCCGGCAGCTATACGCCGGCATTGTGAGGTCCATGGCACTGTACGGTGCCCCCGTGTGGATTGACGCCCTCTCCGCACCGAACAGGGCCCAACTGCGCAAGGCGCAACGGGTCCTGGCGGTGAGGGCGGTGCGGGGATACCGTACGGTGTCATTTACGGCGGCGACACTTCTGGCGGGCGATCCGCCCTGGGAACTCCAGGCGGAGGTGCTTGCCGAAGTGTACCAGTTTCGGGCGAGTGAGCGGGCTCGAGGGGAACGTCCAGCGCGGGAGGGAGTCGCTCGGATCAGGCGCCTAGCTGACGAGGCACTGATCCGGCGCTGGTGGGAAGAACTGGGGACTCCAGCGGCTGGCCTGGCGACGGTGGGGGCGGTTCGTCCGTTCCTGTCTCGCTGGGTCAGGCGGCCACACGGCGTCCTGACGTTCAGGTTGACGCAGATGCTTACCGGGCACGGGTGCTTTGGTAAGTATCTGTGTCAAGTTGCGCGTCGGGAACCGTTGCCCGTATGCCGCGAGTGTGGTGCGTCCGAGGACACCTCGCACCACACCCTCGCGGTATGCGCCGCTTGGGCTCCCCAGCGCCATGCCCTGATGGCGGTAGTGGGTGGAGACCTGTCGTTGCGAAGCGTGGTGGGAGCCATGCTACGTGACGAGAGGTCCTGGTCGGCGATGGTCTCCTTCAGCGAGGCCGTCATCTCACTGAAGGAGACGGCGGAGAGGGAACGCGAGGCTAACGCCTTAGCAGACCCTCTTCGTCGCCGTCGGCTGGGGGAGAGGAGGCGCCGGTATGCGCATCTTCTCCCGCCACCCTAGAGGAGCTACAGCGGGGGGGTCTCTCGTTGACTCCCCTGCACGTCATCGGGGCGGTCGGAATGCCCTGTGAATCGAGGGCATTCCGGTTTAGGCGAGGCAGGCCCGCGGGGTACGGGCTGTCCGCAGGGGTGTTGCAGTGAATGCGCAAGCGATCCTGCACACCCCATTGCACTGCGGCGACGGGTTCCGCTGTGGGTTTTAGTGAGTAGGAGTCTCACAGTACCCTACCCATTGACGGCCGGTAGGGTCCCCATGATGGGTTTCCCCAGCGATATCAAAAAAAAAAAAGACCTGTAAGTTGATAGAGAAGGTATATTGCCTTAATAGTGGTCTGGACACTAGTCCCGAGTGCCCCTAGTGTAAATACAGGGCTGCTCGTACTTATATCAAAATTAATAAATCTTAATAACTCTGGCAAATAGTCAACGATAAAAAAAACCTTCACTCTATCTTCACTCATGAAAGTGTAGGATGTGTGGAGGTGGGTCTGAACTACATCCGGCTACAAGAGTGTGCCTGCCTTTTTATGAAGAAGTTAAATTATATATTTTTATTTTGAGCTTAAATAAAATTAATTGCTGGCTCTTGGTCTTCTTGCCACAAAAATGGTCTGTTTTAGATTAAGTTGTTCTTTTCTTATTTAATATTATTTTATATTTTAGAAAAAATATATCATATTAAATGAAAGATGTAATATAAATATAAAATAATTTATGGATTATTAATTAAATGTAAAACTGAGAATTTTTTGCATTTATATATAATGGACAATAGCGACCTGTCCTGGTGTAAGTAGGCACATATGTATACATACACCTAATTTTTACTAATAGGTTAATTTACACCTTAAATTAACAATACGATCTGGTACATACGAGTATCATATATCGATGGTACTACTTATACCACAAACATCCCGGGCCTTTTTTTTTTAACGTTGGGAAATGCATTTACGCACGAAGTGTGGGACTCACCGGCGAAGCCAGTACTACCCACTAATTTTAGTTGGTAGTACTGGCTTCGCCGGTGTAAGCCTCAGTAACAGCCCGGAGTTGGGAATTTGGCGGTGTTTCACCCCCGTGCCTCGGAGAGCACGTAAAGCCGTCGGTCCTACGCCTTAACTCTCACCGGTCGTGTCGAGCAGTCGTCCCACCGGAGTATGAGAGTGACAGGAATAGAGAGTGCACTTGTGTCTGCGCGTACACTTGTGCACTATAATATCTCCTGCGCAGTTGGCTAATCTCAATGAGATTGGTCGCCGTAGCCGGAATCGGCTAGGAGAACATCATACAATAATATACTATATCTTATACACAGTAAAAACTTAATATTCTGGCTCCTGCAACACAGTTTTAAACGAGCGCAGGGCCTAGGGAAATCATTACCACTTTTGTATGTATAAAAAAATTATGTTCATAAAGAATTTATTTATTTATTTAAACCAATAATAAACAAAACAAAATTACGGTATGTCTAAAAGTGCATAATATGGTACAAGTTAGTGCTTTCTACTAGATAATCTATGCAAAAACTATGCGGATCCATCTTTTGCTGTTGTTATATGCTTATATGCATTTTCTATATTATGTTACCAATAAATCAATAACAGCAAACTTATAATACTAAAACCGGCTTGCTTATCTTATTTTAATAGACTAATATTTCATTTGAACACATTGTAACCAGTACAGTACATTACGCATATTGTACACGTGTGGACAATTGCACTCTTGCATTTATGACTATTAAGACAGCATGACGTCACTTTATTAAGGATTAAGAACTCTGTAACAGTATAATAGTATAAGTGACAACAGCGGATGTCATGGATACTAGCAGTGGGTATTCGATGCGAATATAATTGGCCATATGAAAATTAATTGAGCGTGACTGTACCAGACTCCGAAAATCACTGAAAGCTGTTGACAACGTTTCATCTGAAAACAAAATTTAAAATAATGTAAAAGTGAATTGCAAATCGAACTTAATTTATCATATTAATATAGTCCATTCCGATTGATGGATTTTCATTCATGATTATTTGAGGTAATGTTTATAACTACGTACTAGATAGTAGAAAATCGTCTACATTGCAATTTGTAAGAGGTTTTGTTTGAAAAAAATATGATTAGTAGAAATAAAATACCTAAACGTTTTTTTTAAATTGCAATTTTTTTAAGTACATTATCAACACGCCACGCAATGCCCTAAATAAATCTTTATACCGCTTTAAAGAAGTTTGCCAGTTGGCTTTAATAAGGCTGAAAGGTGTATAACTCATGTTTTATCTTTACCCTTGTTTTGGTTCATAGTAAATCTATATTAAATTCATCTATAGATATTATAAATAAATTTAGTCATAATTTAGTCATTGATGACGTAAATAATGGGATTATTCCATCCAGTTTTCTCTAATCTAAAAATGTTATTGTACAATTATTGAATTTAAAATTTGAAATTGAATGCAAAATTATACAATAAAAAACAATAAAACATAATAAATTACACTACCGAGATTTTTATTAATGATCAGGTTATCTAGTAGGCGGATTATCCTTTCCTGCTGCCTATAAACGCGTTCACAGTGGTTGACGATACTTAGTAGGACAATGATACACGTCAACGATCTTCCAAGTGTTGCAATCACAGTATAATATTCATTGGCGTAACCTGTACCCTATAAGATCAAAAAAAATTAGAAATAATTATTCTAGAAACCTACCGTTGGGGCGCATCCCTAGTTGCCTAACAATAGCTTATGATAGGCCTTGTATTGTATTCAGCCCCTTTTTAACGTCCCACTGCTGGGCACGGGCCTCCCTTCAATATGAGGGGGATCAGGCCATAGTCCCCCACGCTGGTCAAGTGTGGGTTGGCGGACTTCACATGTCTTACGAAAACCTACTAGGTTTGCTTCAACATGCAGATTTCCTCACGATGTTTTCCTTCACCGTAAGGCAAGTGGCAATCAAGTTAGAAATGATTTGCACATGAAGACGTGACGTGCGAGACCCAGGATTTGAACGCGCTTCACTCGGTTTCGCAAGCGAGCGCGTTACCACTGGGCTACCACTGCCTCTTATGTTATGCACTTCGCCCTGCTTGTTAGGCACTTAGGGACATTCCGGGTCATAGTCTATCTATGCACGTCTTAACGTCCAGCTCCGTCCAGTCCTTTCACAACTTAATATAACATTTTTGTTACGCGCTGCTGTTTAGTCAAAGACATCGAGCGCCTTCGTACAAACAACCTCCGACGTGTTCGTCTGACACATGTGCCATACAGGAAAAGTGTTTCATTGTTTTACATTTTATTTTAATATGAAGTTATTTAAATTTTCATACGAAGGTTTTATTTTAAAGTTTATTCAAACAGTAAATAAAAGAATGAAGATCTTTCTTCTATCTGTGTATAGTTGATTTGATTGCAAGTTTCATAGTATGGTTATGATGTAAGGAATGATTGTGATAGGACACCGGGCACGTGTACTTAATTTTTAATTTTATTTAAATAGTGTCAAATTTTACTTTCTGACGATTGCTAAACAAGTTTAAATTATGTATCTCTTTAATATAGAAAAGCATATCTTACCTGTGATCCAATTAAGATCAAAACCGCTAAATTTGTAAAGCGTATAACATCTATAAGTAAACTGAGGCTGTTTAAAAGCATCTGAAACAAAATTATGTCCATAAAAAGAAGTAAGTTAATTATGGCAAAAGACAGCATGATTTCTTGTTTTATTTGATGTAAAGTCTTACCCTCATTCCAAACATTTTGTTGATGAATCTCACTTGTTCTATTAGTAACAAGTAACATTGGCTTAGGGTTTTTACGTAGTTTTTGTTGATATCTGAATTAACTTTTATTGAATGTAATTTAACACTTTTAGATTCATCATAGTATAACCAATCCTTTTTTGCAACGAAATCCTCGATTATCTCTGAAGAATTCTCCGTTGTATTGCAGTAATCTTGGATTATGTCACCCAAAACACTTAGTCGGCTCTCTATATGTATCACATTTGCAGTGAGATCCAAGTTTGTCAATATTTTTATAAACATATACACATAAGCTATGGAGTATACGCTCGTTTGAACAATACCGAAACCTTTCAACCAAATTACATAATCGAATAAACTGGTTAATATCCACATGATGATTAACGTCATCATAGCTTTTATTAAACTCCGCCGAATTTTAACGTAGAAATCAGTTCCAATTAATCTATCAATGCATGCGTATTGTTTTATATATTCATAACAAATTTCTGCACCATATTTATGAACAAAAACTAAATCAGCAATATATTGAAAAACGTCGTAAATGATTTGAGCCATATCAGTGTACCTTACTGATATAAAAACAATTTTATAGACATATGTTAATTTGTAATATAACGTGAATAAATTTAGACTACCAATAATAACAGCGGGGGTGGCTCTTTTTAGAATTTCACAATGTGGGCTTTTGTATTTTTGCACTTGACAATTTAAGCAAAATATCTTTAAAATAAAATGCAACGGAGCAAATGTATGTATTATGTCTTTTATATAATTTTTATAATTAAAATCGTTATTTTGCATGATGAAAGTTGTAATAAAATGGTATATGTATAATAATAACTATTTAACAAAAAATTGAAGTCTTTAGAAGAGTGCTACGAGTATGTGCGCCAACATTAAACATCACTGTTTCATTTTAATGATAACAATTATTTTCATGAATTAAATTACTCGTGGTTTTTATAGCATGCGCACATGTAATCTTCTACAGTGTGTTTATTTAAAACACAATTTTACCTCTTTGTAATATTACCTACAGCCAAGTTTGTTGTTAACACATCTTGTTAAACACATACTGATCGTTTTATAATAAATATTTATTGATTTCTATTTGGCTTTTGTCGCTTATATATCTTTTATGCCGTAATCTACTTAATTTACTCACAATTAGGAGATATGTACAAAATATTTACAATTTATATACCTACACACACCTTCCTTGTTTACCGCTTTTTCTTTTCTTGAACAGACAGAGGCAGACAGCAAGTTTATTTTAAACTAGGTATATATAGATATAAATATATCAGCGACTTGCACCCGAAACAAATTTTGTAACTATTTTCCTATGAAAATAAGAGATTTTACCGCCCTAAATAGTTAAATATTTGAACTTGATCCTGTTACTAATAGTTTTTTTGTAATAAATCATTGAAATTTTTGTATGAAGGTCAACTTGGCTAAAAGAGTTGTGTGTATGAGAGATTTTCCAGTAGTAACAGGTGTCCTAGTTGACCCAAATAATAAGTTATCATTACACAAAATTTAGTTAAAACCGCTCAGAACTTTTTGCTTGAAACTAATATACAGACAAACAGACTAACAGTCAAAAATTTCAATTACACTTGTTTTGGGGCCTATATTCCGTAACAACACGTACAATGATAATTTTTTTTTAAATATATTTTATGTGCAAATTTGGCTTTGTTGTTATTTTAATAATGTATAGCTTTACTTTACATAAAAACCATAATTAAATAAATGTGAATAGTGTTCGTTAGTGTATCCTTTTACGCCCAGAGACCAATCGATGAAAATATTGCCGTTTATTTAATGGACAGGAGAGTGACAAACTTCTGCTTAATATCATCCTATCCTTTGGCAAGGTATATAGCCTTATTTATCCATTGTAAAAGTTACAAGTGTATATATTAGTAATGATCTTTAAATTAAACATTTTTGAGCAGCCTTTAATTGCATGAGCAGTATAAGTGTTATTAAGTTTTAATAAAATGGTGAAGGGTGGCAGTAGAGGTAGTTATATCGATTCATCACTTTAGTTTTTCATTTAATATTATTGAGTGTATTAAGCAAAATGTAAAGCTTTTTATTAAATTAAATTTATCAAGAAAATCTTTAACTACATAACACAACCTGTTATTTTATAGATATTAAAAATAACTTTCACTAACATCCACTGAAAAGATTTTAGAAAAATAGACGTGAGTAGATTTTTTGAGCTGATTGTTTTAGTGTTATTATGAAATCCTCCCTATACTCTACTGTATTTTTTGAAAACGGAGTATAAACAAAGGAAGTTAGTTTCAAAAATTGGAAAAATAATAAAAACAAATAGGTGCTGCACATAATATAAGAAATGTGCAGCTAGTGGTCTTGTGGCTATTAGCGATTTAAGGATAATAATTACGAGTATGCAGTTTGATCACATTTTCCACTATATATGATATATGGGACTACCCTCAAAATCTTCTTACTAACCAACAATGGAAAATGTCTATGTTAGACGGCTGTTGATGATGTGTGATGTATGCATATATCATACAACAGTCGACTGAAATTGACATTTTCCATAGTTGCTTAGTAAGGAGGTTTTGTGGGTTACGAAGACATGTGATACAATGAGAAAAATAAATAAATAAAAATAAATATGTTGGGACATTAACACACAGCACTATCTGGTTCCATGGTAAGCTACGAGGCCTGTGTTATGGATACCAGATAGTTGATACACGACACATCTATAACTTTAAATACATACATATTATAAATATAAACATTAAACACCCATTACTGGAGTACAAACATTCGTGCTCATCACACAAATGAATCGATTTTTTAAGTGCAATAAAGAATAGTAATAATGAATGCCCCCAGCGGGACTCGAACCCTCGACCGCTGGCACAGCAAGTAGGGTCACTACAAACTGAGCCAAACATGTCGTCACAAAAAGAAATTATAGAAAACATAAAAAAGAACTTAATAGAATAATATTTAAAGCAAAGCTGATGATACATTTAACCAACTTCTAAAAAGGAGGAGGTTCTCAATTAGTCGTTTTTTTTTGTTTCAAAGGGTATACTTCCCAGGTGGTCCCATGTAAATTACATCAAAATCGGGCGAGCGATTTTTTTAAAATTAATGAGAAATATTTTTTCGAATAGGTAAATTGTTTAATCGAATATATTATTAAAAAACTTTCTTCTTAAAAATTACCTGCTTATTACGTTTATACTAAAAATGGGAAAACTTGGACTTCCAGGCACTAAAATGTAAAAAATACCTAAACGGAGGTTTTCATTTAGAATAGATACCTAATCAGTTCGGAGTCGGTCGAATCTTGCTCAAACACGTGGTACTTGGGTATGTATTGTTGGGTCGTACGGTTGGGTCTAGAATGAGAGGTATAGCCAATATTCATTTTAATTACAAATAATAGTTATTACAATAATATATTTACATAATCTTATCGTTTTACTTTTATATTGGATTGAAATAACTTGATAATACATAATTACGACAATTAAAGATGCTAACCAATAATGATACAAAAAACAAGTATTGACAAAATTTTGGTACCAGTTATCATTATCACATTCAATAATTTTTCAAGCTGTAGCACTAATAACAAAAGAACTTTAAAACATCATTCATCATTAGGTTAGTTTTATTCAGTATCATGGGTCATTATTAGCGATTTGCAGGTATTATTGAAATTACTCAATAAATATGTGATTAAAATTTCATATTGCCAAAAGTATATTTTTGGAAATTTTAATAAAATATCTTTGGAGAGGTCTGGTAATACTTTATAACCGACAAAAACGGCTGGGGTATTTTTGAAATTGATATATAAAAACTAAATTAAAAGATTAAACAAAAGTCAAGTTGCTAAAACTATATTTTATGGATATTTTTTTGCAAATGTTATATACTGCGCTACTGTGCAGTAATTTTGGCGATTTTTCGACCCTCCCTTCCCCCTTGGTAAGATTTCGTGAGATTTTGCTCAAACTCCTCCCCTCTCCCCTAATCTCACGTGAGATTTAAAAAAATGCGTATTTTTGCAAATACGCATTTAAATTGCTGTAAATGAGTTAATCTGTGTTTCGATTACATTAGATTTATTTAAAAAACAATTTTCTTATTTATTTATTTTTTTAAGACTACGTAAGACTAGTAGGTATTTAAGATTTTTAATGATGTAGCATAGTCACAATGAGAAAATCAAACAATAAAATAAAAGAACTGAAATAGCTATCAGTGCATAATTAAACCGCAATGAATATTATTATACATACAGTAGAGACTCGATTATCCGGCCATCAGTTATACGGATTCGCGATTATCCGGACTACCCATGGCGACGTACCCACCCTGGCCCTGCGCGTTCGCTGTCGCCGTGTTTTTGTTTAAGTCATAGAACTACCAATCGTTACTCCGCTGTGTCTTGTCACGTTTGTGCTTAAAATTGTCAAGGCGTAAGAGAGTGGTGTTATCGCTTAAAGATAAAATAAATGTTGATTTGTCGTTAGTTGATTTTAATTAAACACCAACATTAGGTATTACGTAATATGTACGAAAATAGTTTTTTTTTCATACATTCGATTATCCGGATTTTTGATTATCCGAATGCCTACCGACAACAATTAGTCCGGATAATCGAGTTTCTACTGTATATGATTAGCTATGTTTTAGTGGAGAAACATTTTTACTTAAATTAATCCAGTCTTCTCGCAATTTTACACTGTTTCTTGCGGAAAAAAAATTACGTGATATTTGCCGAGAGTCGAGACCACCCCCTCTCCAACGTGAGATAGAGTGAGGATTTGATCGACCCCCCCCCTCTCCTCCCCCCTCTAAACGCCTCACGTTATTAATGGATGCCTCCTAACGAAATAACCGCAAACGCTATCCCAGAATAGCGGGACTGGACTCGCCAATTGACGAAATTATATTTTTTCGCAATTTCAACTTGCCAAAAAGGATCTTCCCAAAATTCGTTGCCAGCTCTCAAAATATATGAATAATGATGCAATTGCTATACTATAAATAAATTATATCACGTATACAGCAAGTGATGGCAAATACGAATTTCAAAGAACAAAATACAATGAGGATCCGTAACGTTTTTAGTTGAGAATGCAGATTTATAGAGCTAAGAAATCCTTAACATACACTGCAAACATTTTTGTTCTACGACAAAAATTGACGAAGTTATGAAGAAATTACTAGCGAAGTTCACTGGGATTTTCATGGAAAATGAGACATTGTCAGTAACATTTCAACTTTTTTTATATAATGAGGAACAGTACAGTTACAGCAAATTTCATAGAACTAGTATCCATGTTATTTTATAAGACATAAGAATGATATATCTTCATCTAATTGATCTATCTTTCTGTATAGTAAGTCTAACAGCCCGGAGTTGAGAAGTTGGCGGTGTATCACCCCCGTGCCTCAGAGAGCACGTAAAGCCGTCGGTCCTGCGCCTTAACTCTCACTGGTCGTGTCGAGTGGTCGTCCCACCAGAGTATGAGAGTGACAGGAATAGAGAGTGCACTTGTGTCTGCGCTTACACTTGTGCACTATAATATCTCTTGCGCAGTTGGCTAGTCTCAATGAGATTGGCCGCCGTAGCCGGAATCAGCTAGGAGAACGTCATCATCACCATCATCATTGTAGTTTTTCTTCTCTCATAAAGATATTTTCTTATCAGGCAAACAGTTTACTTCATTATGTAAAGAAAAGATCAAATCGTATTACATAGTTTTTTTCGTTATTATCGGGCGGAAATGAGACCTTATGATACCCTTCCTTTTCTATTTTAAATCTTCTTTTCAATACAAAACATCATGTAAGCATTAAAACTTGCATTATTAAGCAAAAAACTTGCATTATACACTATCGCTACACTCTTTAGTCTATGGTTTCGTGACTTATTTCTCTGTGGTCTGTGTATATGACATGACATTTGACAACAACATTTGACAGATGTAGTTAATGGTTTACATTTTATTTTGGAGAGTAATTTGTATTAAAAATTACGACACTCAACAATTATTTAATATCAAATAATGTTTAAATTGTGCGATATAACCATATAAGACCAATATTATATTAATATAACTTTTTACTTAAGTACGTATTTTAACAGGCTATATGAAGTAGGACAATGAATATGTTTTGAATACAAAGTCTATTTATTTTATGATTATTGTTTTAGAACATTCAAGATGGGTGGATGTCGATGTACATATCGAAATTGTACTGTGAAATCAGATGGAAAAACGCATATGTTTCATTATCCTGTATTTGAAAAAGTCAGATGCCATCAGTGGCTTGTTAACGCTCAAAGGCTGGATTTTTTAAACTTAAAAGTATCACAGTTAAAGAACCGAGTGGTCTGTCAGCATCATTTTAAAGAGGAAAATTTTATGAATTACAAGGTATGTAGGTTCATTAATTTTGGCACAAATTCAGAATTGGGGACTTGGCCCCTAGCGGAGTGGGTGGTATTTCTGGATAAGGGACGTGATAGGGAGTCGAAATGTTAAATAAATTTTTTAATACAACAAAAGATTCAAAAGTTATTGAGACTTAAAGTTACAACATTTCCATACATTTTCATATATTTCTTTACCACCATTCGGAGTGGGTGGTATTTTTAGATAGGGGAGGTGACAGAGTCAAAATATATTAAAAATATTTTGAGGAAACGTACAAGTAAAAAGTCATATCTAACACATTTCCATACATTTCTTTACCTAAATAAGTGATTACAACAGATAAACATACCTTTAACGAATAGTACGCATCCTTTTTTATGTACATTACACATTTTCACAACAATTAATGCTTTATTGTATTTAATATTTTAATAATTTCACAACACAAACAAAATGATCTTACATTTTGACAAAAGCAAAACTGACACTTTGTTTTATATTACCGCTTAAATGACAACAGATTATATTGATTATTTTTGCTTTTTCTGTTGGTAAAATATTAATATTAATAAATAAATAAATAAAAAGAAAAATATTATTTTCATTTCATAAATACATTTATGATTTTTTATCTGATTTATGTAAAATATATTGTTTTACAATTGTACATTTAGTAAAAAAAATCATTTTTTTATCTGTGAATATTTTTAATTATTTATTTATTATTCGTCATATCTGGGTTAGGTTAGGTTAGAACATTTAAGATTATTTATTTATTATTCCTCATATCTGGGTTAGGTTAGGTTAGAACATTTAAGATTATTTATTTATTATTCGTCATATCTTGGTTAGGTTAGGTTAGAACATTTAAGATTATTTATTTATTATTCCTCATATCTGGGTTAGGTTAGGTTAGAACATTTAAGATTATTTATTTATTATTCCTCATATCTGGGTTAGGTTAGGTTAGAACATTTAAGATTATTTATTAATTATTCGTCATATCTTGGTTAGGTTAGGTTAGAACAGTTGCCACAACGCACGAGCCGAGCGAGCGAAGCGAGCGTGCCGCGGTAGCGGCCGGCGAGTGCCATAAATGACTAGAAAACTAGAAAATTCGAATTTCACGCAAAGTACAAATAAAGACAATCATCTGGAGATCATTTTGACAATTGAAAGTGACGTTTTGACTCCAAGTGTCTAAATGGTAGTAATGTCAAAATAATGTATGGAAATGTTATAACTTTAAGTCTCAATAACTTTTGACTCTTTTGTTGTATTAAAAAATTTATTTAACATTTCGACTCTCTATCACGTCCCTTATCCAGAAATACCACCCACTCCGCTAGGGGCCAAGTCCCCAATTCTAAACGGCCGCCTTAATTTTTTCGGGTTTATAGTGATATTGTAAGTATTAAATAATAAGAAGGTAAAATTTAAGTTTTCAAGTAATCTCTGTTTTAAAATCTTATGATTACTTATTCTTATTTGCAACATATTCTTTGTTATTGGTACTGTAATAATATCCTGATTATAAAAAATTTCAGAAAGACAAACTCACATTTGATGCTATACCAACTGAAAATGGACCTTTTTGTGATCCCAGCAAATTTGAAGATCAATCAAAAGATTTTCTTAAAGCTTATCCAAATCTTATACTTTTAGAAGATATAGAAAATGAAGTGATTTTCAATGATAAAAAGGCAAATTATTCTTTAAAGTATGGGGATTTTTTAACTAATGGAGAGCTTATGGATTCTTCATCGAGACATAATTATGATATAAGTCTTACAAGAGGAAATACTATGAAAAATGAGCGAATTATTAATAATGAACATCATCTTAGTAAAACAGACATATTTAAACCACGCTTTACCAGGTTGTCTTTACCTACAAAAAATATCAATAAAAGTCCACCTCAACCTACACTCATAGTCCCGCCTTACACTGACTTAAGTAGTCAACTAAAAGCAGGTAATGAAATTAATCAGGATTTAGGTATAATAAACACTGTTCAGACAAATGTACTACCTAATAATAGTTTTCAGAGTAATGTTCTACTAAATACAGTTGCTAATAATAGTGTAATAAAAAAAGAACCTAAAATTAAAATATTGTCTGAGAAAAAAATTAAAATACAAGGTCCATTACCCATTATAGGCCAACTTAAAAAGGTGTCACCATCAACAACCTTGAACTTACCTGATAAATCAAATCTTGCACTAAATATGAAAGAACCTGTAAATATAGTAAGCATTGAAGAACCTATACATCCAGTGAAAATTGATGCACCTTTAGAAGCATCCAAAAAAACAAATAATAAACCATCAAAAAAATTAAAAGTTCTAGAAGTTTTAGATATAGAGGTTGATAGCCCTAAAACAAATAAAAAGGATGATGAGAATGGTCAGATTAAAAATGAAGATAAAGAAGATAAATCTCTACATACACCACTAAAATCGCAAAAAATAAAGACAAAAATCACACCTGAAAGGAGTGCTGCTATTGAAGAAAAGAGAAAATTTAATATGAGAATGAAAGATATACTAGAGTCTTGTTTAGATAATTTAGATGATCCTGTGAAAAGTAAAGAAACATCACTTATAAAAGCTCCTAAAAAACCAACTGTTAATGATAAAAATAGTGTTGTCAGTACTCATCTAGCTAAAGATCAAAATTTACCAAATGTTCAGGACTATACACTTGCATTTTTAGATGACAGAATGAAAAAAATGGAAAAAACATTGTTAAATAAAATAGAACAAAATTCGCATAGAATCATGGAAATAAAAGATTCATTAAATAAATCAAGAAAAAAAGAGTCCAATGGGAAGAGATATGTAAATGCTCAAACTAACACTAATGAAGAGTGTTATAAAAAATATCTCTTTAATGAAATATCACAATATTTAAGTCAAAATTCAAAAAGCATAATTTATGAGGAACTTTTCGTAAATAAATATTCATTGAGCCGTCAATCAAGTCCTCAAAGACGAAAACGGCGAAAATATATGTGATGATAACAATATTTTTTATTTTACTTAAGGGAAAAATAATATTAATGTTTGCAGAATATTAAATTTGTTTTTATATTTTATGTTAATTTCTCCAATGGAATTTGATAAATTATAATATGATATAAAAATACAAAAATTAATAAAGAGTTCAATTATCTCTGAATAAGTAGGTTGAATTCTAGTTGAAGTCCTAGACAAAGGATCAATTGATTTCAACAAAGGTACAATTCTTGGCATTCTTCTGTAAACCTCTTTAATATAATACCTATCCACAATTATTAATGGTTATATTTGTTTATATTAGTAGTTGTCAAGTGTGGAAAAATGAAATTGAGATTAATTAAAAAAAATTATAATCAAAATTAAATCAAATGAAAAAATCTAGTTAGTAATAAGCAATAATTTGATATACGATTTTACGTGAAAAAAATAATAATTTGAAAAACTAAATTTTCAGAGAAACCAAACATACAAATATTCAAGAGAAGGTCGACAGTATATCATATATTTTACTTTAATAAGTTTTTTATAGAACATGTTCAATCACATACAAGGGTATGTTAGCTTACGCTTAGTTAAAGTCGATCATTTTGCCATAAGTACCTAAAGGATAAACGATTTGGTATATTAAAATACTTTCAGTTTACGTTCGCCCCGAGATGAGATAAATTCCTTATTGGAGTATCACTAGCGGCCATATTCATAGCAGGTGTTTATATGCCGTTTGCAATATCATTAGTCGCTAATGTATTTCAAACTGATCGATTACGCTGTATTTATAAAAGCTGGGACTCCAAATAGCGAAGATTTCTTAATAATTAATAATCAATGCATCAATTCGGAATAAATTACTCGTGTGTTGGTTTTGTGTCTATGTCGGAACAGCCCTAATAGATATAGCTGCTATAAATCAGGTGAGCGCATATACCTACTTTATATTTAGTTATATTATACCTATTGCGGCTCGTCCTCACTTTGTTTCAAGGCTCATAGGGAGATGTTAAGAAGATATAATATTTGTTATTCAATTTAGCACAAAAAAATATATACAGACAAACAGAACCTCTTCTTTTTCTGAAGTCAGATAAAAATTATCCTATGACTTTTTGCCAAAGGCTAGGCGAATCAAAGAAGGCAGAAGCAAACTTAATCTCGGTTAGTAGGTAAAACTCCGAGTCGATGTGATTTTTTCCGACATCTTCAACAATCATCGCCATATTCACACAAAACTTTAATAAAATATCCACCTAAACATTTCTCATGAAGCACTCTGCCTATTGGTAAAACTGTATGAAAATCTGTTCGGTAGTTTTTGAGTTTATCGCGTTCAGATAGACATACGCGTCGGGGGTGGGTCTGTTTTATATGTAGTGACGATATATTGTAATGGTCGAAATTTTTGGATAGGAAGAAAGATGTAAAGAGGATCATATTATATTTGAAGATTTAAGTATTTGTTTATTTCAATTGCGACTTCCAGGTTTACAGATTATGAGTTTCATATTTACAATCTGTCCTAAATCAAGATTTAACATACCTACCTACTTTGATTTACATAAAAAAAATGGCCGAGTTAGTGCTTATTTATCAAAAATCAATAATAGTTTATAAATAAAATATTAGGTAAAGTGTGAATTGATAATTTTTAAGGGATATGAAAATTAGAAGAAGGTATAGGCGATAAAGTTTCAAGACGAAAAGAATGAACCCTATCTGAAAATTGAACGATTTTTTTTTAAATGTAAACACCCACATGAAGTTGGGGGTGATTTGCAGCCTTTCTTTTTTTTATTTATTATATGTATTTCGAAGATTACATTCCCTTAGTTTCATGGAAATCAAAAGATTATCCTAGAAATTAAAAATAAAAAACCAAGAAACAGTTAAAAACCGAATTTTTTGCAAATATCTCAAAAACTTTGAGGTAATTGTAAAAATTGTTACTTATAAAAGTTGTAGATTTTTACTAGACCTACAACTTTTGTAGAAAACATTTTTCGATAGAACGTCACAGTAAGCCGGAAGTTGAAAAAAAACTTTTTTTCAACGCTTCGCGTCCCCCCATTTCTCGGGGGTAGCTGGGCATGTGGGGCATTTTACGAATTTCTATTCGTTATATATATCTGCTAACATTTTAAAATCAGATTTTTAATATTTTTTTCCAAAATAACATTTGAAAACAGAAAGATTTTCAATATTTTGTTCCCAAACCAGATTCCGATTGGACTAAAAAGGCAAAAACAAAGTATTACCTATTGTAGTCAGGGTACTTGACTGCAAGCTGGAGGTTGTGAATTAGAAACCTTTTGGTTTAGATTAACAAAAGGTAACGAGTTCTAGTTGTCTATACTAATATTATAAAAAGGAAAGATTTGATTTTTTGTTTGTCTGTACCGAATAGGCTCTGAAACTACTGAACCGATTTAGATGTAAGAAGATAGTTTGAGAACCCTAGGAAGGACATAGGATAGTTTTTATCCCGGAAATCGTCCCTTAAGGGGGTGAAAATGGGAATGTAAGTTTGTATGAGGAATCTAGGGACGAACCCGAGTGAAGCTAGGGCGAGTCACTAGTTTCTTATGTTTCTATTATTATCATAATATGACTTATGTATTATATGCTGACAACTTTCTATAAACATGTGGTATTATCATATTTAAACATTGAGTATACGCATATATAATGAAATTTAATAAATTTCAAAATAAAAAATTTCGATATTTAAAAGAGCAACTGTAGAGTTTTTTCGCCGGCTCTTCGCAAAAGAACTGTTTTCTAAGTCGGTGGTAGCTTCGTCATGAACTTACTAAACTGACGCTCTTTAAATTAAATTTATTGTTTTAAAATAAAATGCTTGTATAAGTCTAACTGAATAAAGTTTAATTTCATTTCATTTCAAATGTAAAAATCATAAATTATACCTTTAATGAAAATTGGAAGAAAAGTGGCGGTTGAGTTGTTTCATTGGCATGTGTTGCTTAAAGAGTTTTAAAATATTATCATTGCATATAAAATGTATGATAATTAAAAAAAATACAAAAATAAAAAAACGACGTAGAAAAAGTATTATGCAGTCTTTATTTTTTTATATAGATAGGTACAGCTTTTTATTTCTAACCAGTTAAACATTTGGAATTTTATTTAACAATTTATTATTCCAAATCATTTTAAAACATATGTTTCATATATTTTGAAATCACCTCTCAAAAACCTGTATGATACCTCACTCGATTGATTGATTGACGAAAAATTTTTTTTCAGGGCACACAAATTGGCGTTATCAAGGCGAATTTTAATAACTTATGAGAACATCAAATTGGTTGAGCCTTTTAGTAATTACGAGGGAATATATGACGGACATACCGATTAAATACGACCGATTTAATACATAAACGGTAAACACAACCCTCCTATGGGCTTCGCCGCATATGTAGATGGATAAAAAGGCCTTAGGGACAAAAATCGCCAGTACTACATAAAGGTATACATAATATTATGTATATGGGATTTAAGGCTTATATAAAAACAGGTGGTAAAAGGGCGTTGGACGCGGCGAAGGCAGGGCGCACGTGCGTCGTGTTCACGCACCGCCTGAGCACGGCCCGCAACGACGCCGACGTCATCTGCGTGCTCAGCGACGGCCGCGTCGCCGAGAGCGGTATACACTCACAACTAGTACAATTAAGAGGACTCTATTGTAATTTGCTTGCGAAAGGACTATGAATACTTTCGTTCTTTTTATTTAGGTACTACCTTTATAGCAGTCTCCTTTTGTTAGTTTTGAAAAAGAAAAAAATATATTTTTGATCGACTGTGCAAATCTATACTATAATAAAACAGTAGAGGTGGAATGTCTGTACATAACAAAAAAATGCTAAAAACCAAGTCAGGGGGATGTAAGAAGATAAATAGAACAAATCCAGATTTTTTCAATTTTTTTGTTTCTTTGTCTGTCTGTTTGTACGGGCTAATCTCCGAATCTATTGGACCGATTTAATTTTTTTTTATGGTGATACCTTATATCCCCGGACAACATCTTAGATACTTTTTATGCCGGTAAATTAAATAGTTCCCGTGGGATAGTTAAAAAACTATAATAACTTATACAGCTTAGTACACAAAAACTACTAATTGGGTTTTAATAAAACTTTACAATAATATAGTTCATACATGACAATAACAAATCGGCTACTTTTCGTCCCGGAAAATTAAAGGCTTCCCGTGGGACAATCAAAAAACTATAGTAACTTATACAGCTTAGTACACAAAAACTACTGATTGGATTTTGATGAAACTTTACAATAATATAGGTTATACATCAGAATAACAAATAGGTTACTTTTTATCCCGGAAAATGTACGGTTCCCGTGGGATAGATGTTTTCGTTTATTTGTAACGTATTATGTACACAACATAGACCCCAAAACAATATTTATTAAAAAAATTGTCTGTTTGCCTGTATGTCTGTTTTTGTATGCGCGTTTCACGCGAAAAGTAATGAACCGATTTCAACGAAATTTGGTGAAGTGATAACTTATTACCCGAGTCAACGTTTAGGATACCTTTTACTTCAAGAAAATCTTTCTTTCTCACGGCAAGATACAATAACTGGTTTTATCGAGTCCTCCCTAGAAACCTTCCGCTGGCTAAACCTTAAGGTTAAGCATATAGCTATAAGACATACATACATCAAAACAATATACCTACTAAAAAATTGTAGGTCTTGAAAAGTCCTATAGGAAAGTTCTGAATAGTATTTGTATGTCTCCTAAGCAATATCTATTCTTATCTATACCTATATTTAACTAACGTAGTCAAATCGATGTGCGCGTTTCGCGCAAAAAGTACTGAACCGATTTTAACTAAATTTTCTATAGTGATAACTTAGTACTCGGGTCAACGTTTAGGATACCTTTTACGACAGGCAAAATTATTCATTTTCACTTGAAAACACAATAACTGGTTCTATTGAATTATCATTAGAAATTTATATGGCTAACGCTGGCTCTACCTTAAGAGATAGATCAAAACATTGTACAAGAAGATTTTAAGTTAAAAAGGTCGATAGAAAAGTTCTCAATAGTATATGTCTATCTTCTAAGGACTAAGGTAGTGTACGCTATAACTATTTTCATTATTATATATGACTGTTTTATTATACGTTATTTCTACTATCTATAAATATAATAAAACTGTAGAGGTCTAATGTCTGTACATAGAAAAAAATATGCTAAAGACCGAGTCAGTTATCTTCTTACATCCTGTAAGAAGAAAATAGAACAAATCCAGATTTTTATCAATTATTTTGTTTCTCTCTTTGTCTTTTTGTTCGGGCTAATCTCCGAAACTATTGGACAGATTTAGATAAAATTTTGCATGGTCGTACCTTACATCCCCGGTCAACATGTAAGATACTTTTCATTCCGGAAAATGGAAGAGTTCCCGTGGGATAGTTAAAAAACTATAGTAACATAGCTTAGTACACAACAACTTATGCACCTAATTTAGTAAAATTTGGCATGCTGATACCTTACATTGCCGGTCAAACAACAGGTTACTCTTAATCCCGGAAAAATGAACGGTTTCCGTGGGATAGTTCTGTTTTTGTTTGTAACGTATTATATACACAATATAGACCCCAAAACAATAGTTATTAAAAATTTGTCTGTTTGTCTGTTCGCCTGTATGTCTGTTAGTCAGTTTGTATGTTTGTACGGGTTAATCTCCGAAACTGTTAGACCGATTTAAATGAAATTTTGCATGGTGGTACCTTATATCCCCGGTCAACATCTTAAATACTTTTCATCCCAGAAAATAAAAGAGTTCCCGTGGGATAGTTGAAAAACTTTAGTATCTTATACAGCTTAGTACACAATAACTTATGCACCTAATTTAGTAAAATTTAACATTCTGATACCTTATATTGCCGGTCAAACAACAGGTTACTTTTCATCCCGGAAAAATGAACGATTCCCGTGGCAACTAATAGATCTCCATTAGTGTTTTACTAGAGGCGAATCCGAGGGAAGCGAGGGTGAGCCGCTAGTGACAAATATTTGCGACTCGTAATAACGTATCAAATTAATCCCAAGCTTGGTGTAACTAATTACATGCTGAAAATTGTGCAATTCAATAATCTACAGATTTCCACAAGCCGAAGAAAGAAAAATCGTCAGTACCTACCTATTCATTCATAATCGTAATTAGCCCACTTTACACCACACCTTACAAAAAGCTTTTTTTTATCAATCCTATATAATATATATATAACATCAAAATATTTTTTCAATATTTTGATCGAATGCCGTAGACGCGTGACCTTAGACAGAGGACTTATATTTGGTCGAGGTACTCAAGACAGTGCAAGATCGTCCCTTACGTTTCCTGCCGAGCTTGAGTAAATCTCAAAATCCTCTTTTAGGCTCACGTAATAAAATATTTTTTTTATCACGTAGGCATCATCTAAAACCATGCGTTTAGGAATGATCGTACAATCAAGACAAGTCTCCAGAACATCTCGAATGCTTGTAGTCCATACAAGAACTTAAATTACTGATCGATTAAGAACACACTTTCACATCTCTTTCTGCACATACATTTCAAAAAACTAGGCTGCGTGGGGGAATATTATTACTAGAACAGAAGGAACCATGGAAGGGATTTACAACACAAGATCTCTCTACCTCCACAATGGAACACTGACCCTGCTCTAATAATTTACCTATGCCTCGTCCAAGATCTACTCTTTTAAGTCACATAGGAGAATTAATTTATCTTTTTAAGTACTTTTTTTTTAACGTTGGGAAATGCATTTACGCACGAGGTGTGGGACTCACCGGCAAAGCCAGTACTACCCACTAAAACCCAACAAAACCTTCCCCCGTCGTAATGGGGCGTCGCAGGATCGCTTACGCATTCAACTACGACGCCCCGACGGCAGGTCTGCCGAAGCAGACCACAACAACCATGGGGTTGCTCCACAGTCCACTCTGCTATCAGAGAAGTACCAGGAGCAACCCGCATGGTACACTGCCCTCCGAAGAGGGCCACCTCCCACCGCCCACCGAAGTGGGCCACCTGCCTGTGCGTTTCTTGGCTTCGCGCCCGATTGGGTTGCCGGGCACTACTGAGCCCCCCCACCACGACAAGGTGAACGCACGTTGGGGGGGATCTTTTTAAGTACTAAGTTATTTGAAAAAAAAAAGATATTACTAAGTAATTGAAAACAAAAGTATCTAGAGGCCGAAATATGTACATAAAATGACTTCCATCGCATTGAGACAACGCACGGACCTCTTTATTGATTGACTGTTGATTACTTACTCAAATTTTAAAATCTGAATAGTAAAGCAGGATAATTTTTTTAAATAAAAAGGCAAATATCAGACCACTTAAGAAAATTTAATTTTCATAGTACACTTTGAAAAAAATTTCTTCTTCCTTGGTACCTGTAAATAAAGAAGAATGTTAAATAAACTTATACCCGACTAAATTTTTAGTGACGTCGGTGTTTTGTTTAAAATGTTTTTCTTACTTATTGTTACGAGTATAATGCATCAATATGTGGCTTAAAATGATATCTACATTATGATGTCACAATAAGAAAAGTTAAAGTTTTAAATAAACTTTTTGTCAAAGCAGACATTGAGCGTGTCAACAGCTATCCAAGTAACCTTTGATCAAAGCTACTTCGTCAAAGCAGACTTTGATCGTGTTAACGCAGCTTTACATGATCAAAGTTGCGTCGAAAGTAGTCATACAAACTACTTTGTCGAAGTAGACTTTGATCGTGTCAACACGGCTTAATCCATATCAGTTTAAAATAGTACAATAATTTAATATAATATGTATCTTATATATATCTCAGTACATAATACTCGTAGCAGTCTATGGCATAGACACGGTAATGTAATGCATACATTATCGTGGCATAAATCTATATCTCTTTGTATACAATGTAGCCAACATAGGGGCTTTCCTGTCAAATGCAGGGAAAAATTGCACCGGGCATTTTTTAGAGGGGGGAGGGGTGTATTGGGATGATTTTTTTTGAGGTTTCTAAAATTTCGTTTAGACTTGGAAAAATCATATATTATATTTCATCTATATTATTATTATTAAATGGTTATACCTAATTATTATTATAATAACCATAAATAGCTTTTTTATTTTACTTTTATTCATTTAAAATAAAAAAATATTAAATAAAAACCTACATTTGAAGAAATTGTCAGTTAGGGGGTTTTACAAGTTTTTGAAATTACTCTGGCGATAAAAGTACAAGTGTTGGCAAATGGCAACATGAACACTGGCTAGTGGCTTTAAATGACAGCTGACAGATAGCGATGGGTCGTCGCCCGTCGGCGTATTTAGCGTGAACGAAACTAGACCGTTCGTTTTCTTTCGTCGACTAGTTCAAATCGTGGACTGTGGTTCACGTACGCTTCAATGTAGTTGTAGACGCTAGACAGTCTATAGTTACTAGTTTACGTTGCGAGACTTAGTGTATGAATTGAAGTAGTTCATTTGAAATACGTGAACCGTCGACGCATTAATACTATAGCAACTTATTAATATTTCAGTCCCATCAATTAATTGGTTTTGTTGAAGCTGGAGAGCTAATTTTTTTTATTTTGAAACGGACAATATATAATTTTGAGAAGTGGATAGTACAGTTTTACTAAAACTAAAGAGATTGTTGATAGATGTTAATACACACTACAAAATAGGAAATACTAGCAACAGCTAGTAATTCAAACTTATGCACATATTTTAACATGAAATACCATAATATGGATATTTTCTAATTTAAATATATTACATAATTAATTTAAATTTAAAAATAATAAGTATTAAGTCTGTACATGTCTAAACCAATTTTAGTCATGTTTTGGTTGTGGTTGTAGATGAATTCAATACATAAATGACAAAAAATAAAGTTATTTTATTGACAATAGGTATGTGGTTAATATTTCTATAATAAAAGGTTAAGAAGCCCTCATGAGCTATTTGTTTATCTTAAGTTAACAACCTAAACCTATGGAGTATATTTATAAACATTTTTTTAATTGGGGCAAAGCAAATAGAACTTGACAAAGAATGATATATATGCATTTTTTTAGTCAAGAACTAATAAAATATTATATGACGCAAATAAAATATGTAGAATGTAGATTACATATATGTAGAATGTAGATTACATATAACAACTCATATTGTGCTTAATTTACCTATGGCGTGGGTGCCAACATTGCCACGGACGTCATTTTAGCGATGACGCTACCGGCTGCCACGTTACCGTAAAACGACTGGGCCGCTGCGGCCACACTGCCACCAACAATGCCAGAGTTACTAAAGCCTAGCATAGGAGCCACCCATGCGGCACCCAACCCGCCTGTGGCGTATATGACTGTGCCTCCAACGGCATTCACAGCTAAAGCCGCCAGAAGCCCCATCCTCTGAAATAACCATATCTATTTTAAAGAAGGTTATGTAAATAACAAAATTCGGTTAATTATTTATAATTGAAATTTAGTGAAAGTCAATTACATTGTTCCGGAGTAAACGTCATCGACAATATCACATAAAAATTGTCAATTATTGCTTTAAATGCTAGTTTAAGATTTACATTTATAATGAAATTACAGTTTATATAAATAAAAATATAACGATTGAAAATAGATAGTGCAATAAATAACCTTCTTTCATAATAATTATTTTCTAGGATATAATTTTATCCATGGATATACGTACTTGTGATAATTCAGATGATATTTTCAGAACCTTGGAACAAACTAAACAAATTTCTTCTAGAATTGTAGCACGATATTTGGTTAATGGTTTTATTCTACAATCCACACAATTAGAATTATACGTAATGAAGAGAATGCGAAATGCGAATGCGCTACACGGTGATGCTGGTGTATTTATAAGCTTCGTATAAGTGCCTATTCCTATAAGTATTATAATACGTATTGAAGAAACACGGGGATTTTTTGAAATATTCCCGTGAGTTGCCAGATTGCATATATCGTACTATTAATCCAATACCTTATCTTAGGTCGGTTTCACACTATCGATTGCACCTCTTTAAATTCCGATTTCGGGCCCAATCAACTAAAGCAACTTTATAAATAGAGTATTGTTTATAAAAATTTACTAATATCATTTCATTTATGAAATTTATCGAATAAATCGGTTTATTACTTAGTATGATAAATAAAATTAAAAATTAACGCAAAATAATCGTGAATTTAAAATTAATAATTCATTTAGAAGATAGGTATTATGAATAGTAAAAAATGACATTATTTATTCGCTAATATTATATTTTTTATACAAACAATAATTATAATTAAAGTAGATTTTATTTAAAGAAGTAAAGTAGTAGGTAATGTAATGATCATTAAAAAAATAAACATTTTTTTCTGAACTTTACGTCGATTTTTTCCTGAGATATTAGACTTTCAATGAAAAAGGACCCTTTTCTTTTTTATCATCAATATCTTAGCATTTAATGGATGCACAGTAGATTAAAGGTTAATTTTAAAAATTTAAGTCATATTTCTACAAGAATTTATCATAGTTTTTGTAAATATTTTTTTTTTAATTTTTTACATTTTTTTACTATGTTTTAACAAAACTGACTAAATTTTGTAAATATCAAGTTTATTTTTTGTAAATATTTTTAAGTAAAGAATAAACAAGATTAGACTGTGAATGAATTTCATTTCTTTCTGTAATTACCTTATAATCAAATTTTTCAGAAAATTCAATTTAACTCCAAAACCGATTAAAAACTAACAAAATATCAATTATCATAAAAATATAACCTAAATAGATTCTACAACAAAAAAAGTACAAAAGCAATGGTATACTTTGCGTGAATTCCAACTTTTATTATTATTTCACAATTCGTCAAACTGTAAAGTTGGAATGCTTACGGCAACATTGTATAAATAATAAGCGTCAAATTAAAAACTTAAGGATAACATTTTTTTCGTTTGTTCCTGAAAAATACATTGGTGTAATCAGTTTATAAAAATTTGGTCAATAAAGTACACTTCTTCAATGGTCATTGAAAAAAAATGTAGTTTTCAAAGTAAAAATTATCGAATTCTCCAATTTTTTAAATTTTTAAGGCCTGTTTTACAGGACGGCCATACAATGTTTTTATATTTTCAAAAAGTAGAGTTCAAGACAAAATGAATGAGCCCTATCTGAAAATTGAATAATTTTTTTTTTAATGTTAAACGCCTACTTGAAGTTAGGGGTGATTTTAAGCCTCTCGAGACCATAAAACATACTTTTCTCGGAAATGGCTGAACATTTCAATTTGATTTTTTTTTTCAATTTATTATATGTATTTTGAAGATTACATTCCCCTAGTTTCATAGAAATCAAAATATTATTCTAGAAATTAAAAACGAAAAAATTAAAAAAAGAAAAAGTTAAAAACCGAGTTTTTTGCAAATATCTCGAAAACTTTGTGGTTTTTTAAAAAGTATTATTTATAAAAGTTGTAGATTTTTACTAGACCTACAACTTTTGTAGAAAACATTTTTCGATAGAACGTCACACTAAGCCAAAAATTGAAAAATAACTATTTTTCAACGCTTTGTGTCCCCTATTTCTCGGGGGTAGCTGGGCATAGGGGGCATTTTACGAATTTATATTCCTTATATACCTGCTACCATTTTAAAATCATAAAACTTCAAGTTTTCAATATTTTGTTCCCAAACCGGTTTCCGATTGGACTAGAGGTGGGAGTCCGGGATTTAAATTCGCTTCACTAGTTTTTCTAACGACTCAACAAGCACTAGCTAGTAGTAGTAACTAGTAGCGGGCTACCACTTCCTACAACTGCTGGTTGTCTATGAGTAGTGATAACTTATTATAACATTTCGGATACCTTTTACTACAGGAAAAAATTTCATTCGTAAACGTATAAAAACTTGTTTTTAAAAATACTTATTTACCATAATTAAAAATTCATCAAGTTTTTGAATAGGTATAGGTATGTATAGTTGTTAGTACATTATTTCCTATCATTTTTGTTTACATTATACATATATAAACGAATAAATGTTCATTAAGATTCAAGAGTTGACAGCAATTTAACTTTAAAAAAAATTAAATCTGTCACGGGGCACTTGAAAGAAGTGAAAAATCGATCTCTTTTCACTTTTGTATAGAAAATATGCATGCAGCATGACAGGATGGCTTTTAAGGCCATATGTTATAACTAAAAACAGTATAATAGATTTTTTAAAAGAAAAAAAAGAAAATCGTTTGACAGAGGAGAAACTCATTTAATTGTTTTGTCTTTGCCTCTTTATAAACACCAAGATTACTTTCACAATAATGTTTTATTAAAATTAATCCTTTACAAGAACTACTGTCCCCCATGTGTAGGGGTTGCAGTGAATTTTATATTATCTGTGGCAAAGGATCGCTTAGCGTGTCTGTATTCGTAATGGCGCGGCTACATTAGCGCGCGAATATTCGTGTCGCGTTGGTGCGATAAAAAGATCGTGTACGGGTATACGCGATGTTGTCTACATATTATAAGCAGTCAATATGTTCGCCTGTTTCGCGGCCGATAAAAGTTAGTTGCTAAGTTGCTAAGTAAAATGGAAATTGTATTGTTGTCGGTAAATTATAATTATTATTTATTATTATGTGAATACCGTTTAGATGTGAGTATATTTTGAATTTTAACCCACGCATCATTTATACCAAAAAAAATCCTGTGGTCGGGGTTACGAAGATCCCGTATAAATTATAATATTGGCCGTTTCATAAAATTGAATAAACTCCAATATTTTTTCATCGCTCCAAGCCGTACTGTAGTTGCGTCGTCACTTTCCCGCCAAAATATCACACGTCCGTTCCACTCAAAGTCTGGACTGCAACTCAAGTGGCGATGTCAGCCGTTTTGTTTATGGAAATAATGCTAGATTTTTACAACGATAATGCTAAAAAAGTGCCAGATCACACTTTAATATGCTAAAAAAATGCCAACTGCTAAGTCTTGTTTAAATGATTCATAAATAAAAATAATTGTAAGTACCTAGGTAGTGTAATTAAAAAAAAGTAAATTTAATCGATTCGGTAAATTAAATTATATTTGTAAATCATCAATATTGGCTTCGTCTTGTGCTTATGATGTTGATGGGCTATCTTCAAAATCAATAGTAATTGGCACCACAAGCGACTCTTTAAACCCCTCTTATCTGTTTTAAATTTTGATACATCATCAGGAACGTTATAGGAATGACAACATTTTCCTGATCTTTTAAGGCCGTTTCTGATGTGTAGAATTGAGTTCAGTTTATGTAGTGACATTAGATTTCTTAATTTTGTTTTGACTACATTCATTTAGCTGGATACTCGTTTTAACTCAGCAATAGAATGCCGCAACTAAAGAATAGAAATGGCCAAAGAAGTTAACCTCGGTTTTAGTTCAATCTCTTTCATAGAGTAAATATATGACGGAGATGTGAACAATTTGTCAATCCTATAGTAAGAGTTGCCATCACTAGTACATAAAATTCGAAAAATGCTAAAATATGCAATATGCTAAGGACAAATTTTTCAAGCAAACAGGTTTAAAGAAATGCCAAATTTAGCATTAAAAATTCCAAATCGGCAACACTGGCGTAGTGTAGCCACGCAAGCGAATATTGTCGCCTAGGACGATGTGTCACAATACATCGTCCTAGATTGTCGCGCTGAAACCCTTTGATGCGCGCCAGTTTACCGACAGTGCCGCGATAAGCATTTGTCATCGCCCGAATACTACGCGATGCACCGAACCACACACTCTCTCAACAACTCAGCCACACTTGTCGTGCTAACACGAATATTCGCCGTATCCCACTAATGTAACCACGGTATAAAAAAAAAATATGTTTATATTTATTTTATTTGTCATCCATGATATTTATAAGTAGTCTGTAGAGTTTCAACCGACATGTTCTAAAATGTCTTTTCCGTTTCAAAGAAAATGTATACGAAATGTATTCGTGTAATGTATAGGAGTGTCGTAAAGTACTTCGACATTGACTTACCGACCGACAACCATTAAATATAATCCCACCAATACCAATTAATAAGACCCACGTTTTTATGGAGCGCCTAAAATTGGGAGCTCAGCCTGCATTTCTTAAATTGATTATAATGGATAGATAGATGCATTGGTACTTTTATCAAACTCGAAATCAAGAAAACAAAGAGATAAATATTTTTTAACAAAAAATCTTTTGTTCTAATTAATGTTTGTGTTGGAAACCCCTATCAGTGCAATATAGAAACACTTACGCTTTCCACGAGATTAATTGTATCAATTTTATTTATATAGTTTTATATCTTAAATAGCCATTTTATTAAAAACATCTATTTTAATATTAGAATTCATAATTAATAAAAACCTATAACTAATTATGGAGAAAAATTAAGAAACAAATAGTTTCGTTATAAAATCAATTTATTTCTGTTATTATTTTAATTATAATAATAATTACAGAATATATTCACGCTTTAACGTTTAGTATAAACACAGACAATATAACCTGTAATGTCTGTGAGTATAAATTTCTCAGATATGAGATATTTTTTCGCAGTAAAAAGTATCTTATATGTTGATCCGGATAACCAGCTATCATAATACAAAATTTCATAAAAATTTGTCCAGTGATTTTCTCGTGATGCGTTTCTAGACAGACACACAGACAGACATAAATTATAAAAACTATAAATTCGTCCTCTGTATCGATAATAATAACCGTTTCAATAAGATTTTCCAAATAAAAAATATATATAAAGCCCGACTGCATAAAAGCTAAACAAAAGATAAAAACTAAAAAGATGAAAACAAGTTCACGAAGGAAATAAGAATATTGTATTGTACAGTCGGAGACATCTGACATACAATTTTCATCCTAGCCACGAGATGTACTACTTACTCTACTTAAGATTGAAGTTTAGAAATTAAATTTTAAATTTAAATTTTAAAATACAAGGGGGCATAAAACAGCCTTATAAATTTTATATTATGATGATTAATATGCCAAGGAAAAATTAATATAACATGACACTCTACAAAAAAAAATATAGAGTACCCACGCGTAAATGAACATATCAATATTTGAGTATAATTTGTATTATGAGATCCACTGATTATAATTATAATTTATGAGTAGTAAAAAATTACTGCGTTCTTGGTGTGTTTACGTATATGGTTAGCAAAGAAAATAGGAGCATTCAACATACGGCACGCCGTTGCTCTACCTTCAGATTTCAGTCGGGAAACGATCTCTACCCGAGCATGTCGTACTAGACCACGATTGTCATACACAACCGTGACCGCGATCTACCTTATCTCTTATCAGTATAAAAATGATACATCAAAGTACTTCACGATAAGAACACTCTAAACGCGATAGATCGTTAAGGATTAATTTCGTTAAAATTATATTTTATTACTTGAATCACATTTTATGACAAACGTTTGTTAATAAAATTTTCGCAAAATAAATGAAATAATGTTGTGCCATTTCTTACTAAAGAGTGTTGAGTGTAAGTGATTCGTGATTATTCATTTATTTATTTAGACAAAATGATCGTGTTAATAATATTATGTATGGGACTAACCTTGTCAAACTGTAGCCCCTGTACAAAAGAGCACAGTTTGAATATCACTAACGGCGTGCAATATGAAAATGGCTCTATAATTTTTGACGATATTGAGTACATCAGTAGTTCTTGGTTTCAAGAAGAGGTGGATGGAGTACTTACAACGTTTGGGTGCCCTTGTATAGGACGTGTTTGCTTGTGGAAATGTTGTGACTTAGGCATGATGTACCTAAATAGGACATGCACAGAAGTAGACAACAGTGAAGTTAACCCGTTTAGACCTCCAGTATACAAAGGCCGGGAAATGTCTACTCTCACAGCGAATCAGCATTTCTTTTATATGTATAGATTATCATGTGAAAAATATTTGGTTGATTCTAACACACCAGGTGAAGATATATACATACAAGAAGTAAGTTCAAAATTAATTACGATTTCTTTTTCACACCATATACAGTGCCGGATTAACCACGTAGCAAGAGTAGCAATTGCTACGGGCCCCGCGCTAAGGGGGCCCCACATATTTAAACCAGACTACATATTTTAACCCCGCATATTTTAACCACATAGTCCATAAAGTTTACCACAGAAAATTATAATAAACTAGCAGAACCCGCTAAAACTACAAAAAATCTCTAAAAAGGTAGGTTTCATACAAACTTTCATCCCCTATTTTCCCTCCTTATGGAATGATTTTTCAAAAATGGTTAAACACGTATTTATTTCATTATATTAAAGAGTATAATAGCAAGTTTCAAGTATTTCTGACCATAAATATTTTTTTGGGTTTTATTATAACGTGTTTTCCCGTGGGAATGAGATAATCTCCTGTGGTAAAAAATAGCCTATGTCACTCTCCAGCTCTCAAGCTATCTCTACACAAAAAATCACGCCAATCCATCATTCTGTTTCGACGTGAAAGAAGGACAAGCAAACAAACAAACAAACAAACAAACACACTTTCACATTTATAATATTAGTATGGATATGGAAGTGTGGATATTTTTTTCGTACGGTACGTACCGTTGTGTTTCTATGTCATGCTCCCCAAAAGGTACCTACATATAATTGAAACAATTGTTGTTGGAAACTGTTAAAATTTAACCAACAGTTATAATTTCTCATCGTACCCAAGAGATATATTTACGCGAAATTCATATCTTAACTTTATTCAATTATTCAATCTCCCGTTTCTATAAATGTAAAAAAGTTACCTAGTGCTAACTAGAAAAACATATTTTGTGTTTGTGTTTCCCTACCTATAGTTAAAAATCTTTGAATATTTTTAATACTTCTTAAAGATATTTTGTATGAAAACTATAACTGATGGCCCGTTCATTTTGTTTTCGTGAAAGTCTTGACCTGTCTTGACATCGGTTATACGTTTTAAAAACGTCGTTCGGTTAAACTTTGTCCAGGAAATTAATTTTTTTTCCTATTCAAATAAAGATTTTGTAAAACCCATTTTTCTAAGGCGAATAAGATGGTGGTAAGATTTAAGCAGTTCGAAAGGCTTTAAAAATGAGGTATCTAATTACGCGCACAATATCGCGAAAAGAATTTAATTTAAAAAAATTAATTTAATATATATATTAAATCGATTAATCTTACCAAATTATATTGATATCCGTTTTTAGTACCTTACATGTTATTTAAAAATATACATAACGTGTAAAGTATTAGACTGATATACAAAAAAAAAATCGTAGTCGGCATCTCTTTATAACTTTATATTATGTTTATTATGTATTATACGTATAAATTTGGATCTTGTTTTCTCACCTTGTAAAGAATAATAATGGCTGCTAACACAAATATTTCAGCGCGATACGTAAATATTTATAAAACTTCAGGCTTGCTAGCAAATCCCATGATTTGGTCCGCAATATTTAAAAAAAAATACAAAAGGCGAAGGTCATATTCAACATCTTGTATAATAAAAGTAAACAAATTGTCAAAATAATCTTGGTACTTATACAGTTTATAACATGGCTGAGGGATTAAAGATGGCAAGGGAATCGAGAATCTCATTATGTCCATAAGTACGTTCAGTAATTTTTAACGGTTTAAAAGTTTTAAAAGGATTTTATAAAATAGAGCGAATTACTTAGATTACATTATTTTATACAATTGATCAAGTTTAAGTAGGAGCCCTTTTTTCTACGGAATAAAATAAATTAGTATTTAATATCATTTATAAAATACAACTATAATCGCTTCAGGTAGGTATAATAAATACATAGTCGGTTCAGGAATATATGAAAAGATTAAAGATAACAATGAAATAGATGGACAGGCACGTTTTCATCTTAACTTTAGCAAGGATAATTTCTCTAGTTCTCAGCATATTGCTAGATGGTCATAATTTTTGATGGAATGTTTATCAATGACAATGAAAAATAATGGTTATTATTATCTATATTAAAATTGAATATTTTTGTTATTCAGTACATTTATGAAAAGTAAATATGCTGTAAGTTATTAAAAATAACAACAGGATTAAAATTTATACCTGAGTATTTTATTTAATAATTAGCGACTCTCCCTCGCTTCGGTCGGGTTTGTCTCCAGCTTGCATCCCTATACAAACTTTCATCTCCATTTTCACCCCCTTAAGGGATGATTTCCGGGATAAAAAGTATTCTTTGTCCTTCCCAGGGTCTCAAACTATCTTCCTAACAATTTTCATCTAAATCGGTTTAGTAGATCCAGGGATTACCCCCTACAACTTCACAAACTTTACCTCTTTATAATATTAGTATAGATAAGTTTCATACCGCTGCAGCTGAATGGATTTCCGATTATTTGGACGGAAAACGAGCCACTTTCGTTTCACCAGTAAAGACGTTAATACGAGGTGGTATATCTTTTATAAAGTATTTAGCATTTAGACTCCATGTACAAAGGATATCTACTACTTCATGATATTTTCAATTATACTGTCCGATAGAATCCAAGCTGTTTCTATGTATAAGCGTATTTAAATTTATCCTCGATTACAATACGCAAACGTCTTAAAAGAGAATAATTTGCTTAGATTTAATAATTTTGACGTAATTTTCATGTTTGCAGAGGGTTTTAATGTACAAATACTAAGAAGCGGTTTGAAATTCCTCCTTGATGTCAATATGTCAACACATTAAGATAGAGTAGGATTGCTTATTATGCAGAGAATACAATCTTCTTCATTAACGCGTTTATTTAACACGTCAGGACACTTCTGTTTTTTTTTTTAATTTAGGCAAATATTTAATAGGACAAAGACTTAAAGCAATTAACAATAACCGAAACTGCTAGTATAACTATGTATAACAAATAATAGTTTCAAAATGTATGTAGGTACGTATGTACATATATTATTTATGTAATATGTATGTATTTTTACGTTTTACGACTAACGAGTACACAACTAAATTAAGTTATCTAAGAGTTTGTTCGACCGAAAGTTAACACTTCACGATCCATTACAAATACGCCTGTTAGACACTCATTAGGTTTGTTTAACACTGACTCATAAAGATAAATTATCTCTAACGAGTTTTAGGTGATATGATACCAGATACTTATTTTAACTACTCAGCTTACAACTAGGCATGAAGGGTAATCTGTATTGATAGGTATAATATGTTTACTATTGTTCATGTTCCACTATAATGGTTATTGTAAACATGGCTAAAAACAACAGATTTTATTTAAATTCATAACTATAGCAAAACCATTTGCTTAAACTGAGTGTAACATTATACAGGTTGAACAAACGCACAAGACATAAAAGGAAACTTAGACTTAGACTTTAAATATTAAACATACCAAACACGGTAAAATCTTTCAAGAAAACATTTTTAATATCTTACAATTAAAGAATACAATTCGCTTATAACGACTCTAACTAACGTAGCGGTACAAACGTTAGGGATGCTAAAGTTATGATAATATATAATTTTTAAAAATAAAAGTATTTTTCCTTTGAGGAGAACTTGATATCTTCAACATTTAAGGTACCTTTATTTCAGTATTTAAGGTACCTATCTTACATGATCCCGTTCCTTCTTGTATATATTGATAATCAAAAATTCGAGCCATAATATTAGCACCGAGCTTATCTAATAATAAAGCGAAAAGTATAATGGAACTCTTCAAATAGCTATTTCTAGCAAAATTTTCGAGGTTGAGGAGATTTATTTCGTTTTGAAAATGGCTCTATTAACTTTATACTCGTAAATCTTCCTATTATAATTATTAATCCAATTTTTTATCTATACATATAATAAAATTGTAACTAAGCCGAATCTGTACATTAAATATATTTTGGGAAATCTTATTGACATTATTATCGATACAGAGGCCGAATCTAGAGTTTTTAGAATTTTTGTCTGTCTGTCTGTTACCGCATCACAGAAAAACCACTGGAGGGAATTTGATGAAATTTGGTATGGCGATAGCTGGTTATCCGGGTCAACATATAGGATACTCCTTACCGCGGGAAAATATCTCATTTCTGAGAAAAAATACAAAAACTGCAATGTCAAAGTATACTAATATGTAAAACCTAAGAATTTTGTTTTTGGTCATCTGAACGCGGGCGGAGCCGCAGGCAATGCTAGTTAGTAAATAAAAATACGTAATTACAAATAAAATATTTTTTTTTACATGTACATTAGACAGTCATAAAGTGCGAACCTTTTGTTTTTATCGAAATTATTTTTTTTGACTCATACATTCCAAGAAAACCATTGGTTTACTCCACTATCACAAGAAACCACCTACGTCATGTTTGATTGATTTGAAATGAAAATGTCAAGAAATAAAATTATTAATAACTGACCGATATACCTACATGTTTTTTTTTCTTTTGATGTAAGTACCTAGTACAAATATAATCTAGGCATACAGTTTCGGTAATTTCTTGTTTAGGAATTGTTTGTATTCCACACGTTCGAAGAAGTAAGACCTTCTCACCTTAACGGACCGGGAAAAAATGGCTCAGATACATAATGTACTTACTCCATAGGCAACTTATGTGCTAATTTAAAAAAAAAATTAAAGGGCGGGCTAGTGCAATAAACCACAGATTATCACATATATTTGTGCTACATTACAAATAAAATAAAACTTTAAAAACAATACAACAAAGAAAAGAGAGTATATAAGCTTTACTAATTTAAAAAAAAATGCATAGAAATATTAATCCTATAATGAATATTCTGCTAAGTAAATGTATATTTATAAATAGAGATGGCTAACGGAATTTATTATAGTAAAAAAAATTGTACTTTTTTTAAGGGTGAGATAGAATGAAATGAGGAGAAGTGGCTAATGTATAAATATACAAAAGTATGTATGTACTAATGCTGGGCTTTTATTTTTATTATTCATATATTATTCTTAAAAATTGAAAATTAACGATAAATA